AATGGTGGGGGCAACAAGGAGCTCACTTCCGGCCGGTTGGAGTGTGTAGGTTCAGTCCTTTGTTTTGGTCTTCGACCAGTTAGCAGTCGCTGGCCATTTCTTTTCATTATTTGCCGGCATTAGTGTTGACTTATGTTGTTGCCCATTGACTGTGCACGCGCTTCTAGTGGAAAATCACACAGACTGTCTAATGGTTTCATTCAATTTCGGCTCTCGAATTATTTTCGTTGGTCTTAACTATTTGGCACATCGGAAATATATATTATTTGATTACAAATTGAAAGAATCCCTATCGCAGTACAGATTTTTAATTAGTTTTCATTTATAATTGTTTCGCAGAAATCCAATTACAGCCCATTGAAATCTGCGAAGCCGGAAATGCTAATGCCAAACTAGTTGGATCGGAGTGAACTCCTTTTAATTATATGGCCCATTATCATATTAATTGCATTTTCACCAATCATAAATAATAATTTCATTCAATGCATAATTTATTGAAAAATCTCTTCGATGTAAATCGCATAAATTAATGCAAAACAATTGACAGGCAGAGGAAAAGCGTGAAACGAAAGTGAAAATTCATAAATAACACGTCTGATGACAATCTATCTTGGCCCTTTCGCTTCCAGGGATAATTTAAATAAACGGCAAAATGTTTTTTAAGGTAATGAATAATAAAGGGTAGGAATAATTTCCTTATAACCAAAAATAAAAGAGCGATAAACAGAAAATTTGATTATCATTTGAAAAGGGGAAACAAGAATTACCCAAACAAGGTCCTAATCTAATTAGAAATGGAAGAAAATTATCTAATAATATGCTAATGTGTTTCGCAACAATCAGGAACAAAAGAAGAAACAAAATCAACATTTACAATGTGCGAATAAAGAGCAATACTAATAAATTTATGTATGCCACATTCTCGCACACGCAATAATTGCGCCAACTTGAATGGTTGTGGCAGAAAAATCTTGGAAATTGCCACACATAATTATGTAAATGAGTTTTCCAACCCCCACCACTCTAGCTCGATTGGTGGTTGGGTGCTGTAAAGACACATTTTAATTACCAAGAAAATGTAAATTAACCAACAAGAGACAGCAAACAGACAAACAGGCAGTAGCAGCAGCAACATCAGGCAGTAACATGCCGCGGCTAACAGCAAAAGGCCATAAAACCCAAATCTCATACGCAGGATATGTTCGTATGTGTCTGTGTCTGTTTTCCCTATATGTCTATGTGTGTGGGTAAAAGTTTGTCGCTTTCTGCAAATGGCTGCGCATCTGTGATAACTTTACCCCCAAAATACACCTCCCCTTCACCGAACAGATCCCCACCATGAAAAGGGACACAAAAAAGCATTTATGATAATAAAAATGAAATTTAAAGCATATTTAGGGATGTAGGGTCACGGCCCGGACTAAGAAGCTTTAATGCATCTGTTTCCCGTCACTTGGCTGCCATAATTATGGGTAAATATATATGGGTATTCTATGCGAGTTTGGTGGGTGTGAACTGGAAACTGACACATTTACACGCTCCATTAGAACTTTGACAGTTTGACAATGTCAAATATACAAAGTTTTTCCCTTAGAAATGCCTAATTGATTAACTTTCATGAATGAACTGCAGTAATTGAAGTTCGAACAAGCATTTGGAATGAAGAGTCTCCAGGTGATATTTTCGTTGGAAAAGCAGTCAACATGTACGCCTATTAAACATCAACTGATGTGCTTATAAATATCAATTAAAGTATCTATAGTATTATATTATTAACAAGGCTTTATTTCTATAGCATATTTTTTAATTTAAAGTGGCATATTCAACTATTAAGTTAATCCACTTGAATTTTCTGCTTCCGTAGAAATATTTCCATCTGCCATAGCTTTATTTATCCGAAACCAACGTTTCCGATTTCAATTTCAAATAGTTGAGTGCTTCGCTCACAGAGTAAAAAAAAAGGAACCGCCAACCGCTAAATAATTTAATTCAATTAACAGTGCAACAACAAGTGCAACTTCAGTGGCAGAAACAGAGCTTAACAGAAACAATTAAATAATTTAAACTAAAACCGTTTAAGTCATTAAATCAATTCGCAGTAACTGAGGGTTGGAAAATGCCAACGAACGTACAAACTGGGCCAGCGAAGCACTTTTATCAGCATGAAAATTGTAAAAATATGCAAAACAGTTGGCAGAAAAACTGCATCGTACTTAGGTTGAAAGTTAGGGGAAAACCCCCAAATAGGGCGCCAGCATTAGGGACAATTTGTTTTGCATTACGTATCAAAGGAGCCAAGATACCAGCTGATAGATATTGGTATGGCATGACGCTTGACTAATAGCTGGAAAATTAGTCCAACTTAAAACTTAATTGGTCACAGGGGTGGGTAGGAAAATGCCATCTAATTTGGTTGGCTCAAGGGTCAAGCTGTCAAGTGAAAATCGAACCCAAATCCAGAGCCCAACGTTTTGTTCGATGTCAAAGGACCGACCTACATTTCCCCCCTTTTTTACCAGCTATACAACCAACCAACCTACCAGCCAACAGCTGTGGGAACATCCTGTGTGTGTGTGGGACTCGACATAACAATAACCATTTTCGGCTCACACACAGAAACACACAGGGCCAAACGCACAGAGAGCGCCAGGACTTTGTGCGCTTATGCTGCATGCCAGGGCATAGATAATGTATACGCACTGTGGTACGGAGGGCAGTGGGACTACGAGTCGTACTCAGCACCACTGGCATGTCAATCAACAACTGTGCAACTTGTTCGGTCTGTTGTTCTTGCACTGGATGGTCTGGCCTGGAACTTTGAGGTGGGCAGCCAAGTCGGGAAATGGGAAATTGAGTTTGCAATACACTGCCATCCCGAAAAAAAATGATAAAAATAAATGGAAAGAGAAGCGTTATGCTTTGGGTGTCCTTAAAGTTGTATAGCCAGGCACTCTCCATTCGGCTTTCACCCTGAGTTATTTTGTTGTTTTATTCCTCCTCTGCGTCACGCATCTCCCTGACAATTGGCAGGCACACAAAAATCAATTGATAACAGGTGGCGTTGGCACAGGAAACGACCTGCCTTTTCCCCCTTTTTACGTTTTCGCTTTTTTTTTTTTGGGAAAGAGTCAACGGACCAACCTGAGACAGGCATAAAAATCGTTATGAAAACACATAAAAATTTAAAAATTCTCCAGGCCCATGTGTATATAGGATGTTGCCTTTGCATGAAAACGCTTCGGGCGGCGTCACTTGTGTGTTGATATTAAGCTAAAAGGGCCATTAGCTATAAAAATACTTAAGATGGAAATATGCGCAATGCCGCGGGGCATTCGAGTGGCAGAAAGAGAATAACACAGAGCGTGCAAAAGTCGCTTCAGAAGAAGAAAAGCTGCGGATCCAAACGACTCGGCAAACTGTCACCGAAGTTGTCAACAGCAGTGCCAGTGAGATTGGATTGTTAGTGTCTGTCTGCAGGTGGATACAGGTATATATACATATATATATTTTGCCTACAGACCATGCCCACCTCTATCTGGCAATGGCATTAACATTTTGCGTATACGTAATACATGCGGCTTGCCTTGTTTTAGAAGCAATGAACCACAATTTACCAGTAAAAGGCCGAGGTTTCTATTCATATCAATTAGTTGTCAAAAGCATTCATTTTCATTTCAATTACTTGAGAGAAAGAGAGATTGTGTAGTGTCAGGTCAAATATGTAATTGCTACATCATGGCAGACCAAACACTTATGCATGACTGGCAAGGAGGCTGAAAACAATTTAAATGTTAAATAAATTTATGCAAATTTGGCCACAGTCCAAAATCGCTAAATTGCCTTCAATTGCGCGCATTTAAGGACATTCAATTTACTCCCAAAAGCCAAAATACAGTTTCTACAAAAAAGTACCAAGCGATTCCCGCGGGTTTCGCGTCAGTATTTTCAATTAAACTTTTCGCATAGCATTTAATAACTCCGCATAGTTTAAAAGTCTGTTGGGCCTAACAGACTGGGTGTTGGTACAGGTCCATTTTCAAGGGACCCACATGTTTCCTATTGCAGCTTCTGAGAGATAAATGACTTTTTCGAGGTGAGCATGCGCCTTGCATAAAGGGAAAAGAAATTTGAGGAGATGCTGAGAGTCGCTGGAGTTGGACTGACTTCAAATTTCGTTTCCTGTTTACCTCACCTCGAACAAGAAGAAACACTAAAGTTAAGTGCATTGACTAAAAGATACCTCGTACTTAGCAAACAAATTTCAAAATAGGCTTAAGAATTGCCTTCCAATTTCGCTTACTTAAGCTTTATGATTTCATTTTTACAGAAAATAAACAAAAAGGTAAAGAAAAAAGAAAACTTCTCATTGAAAGTTATTAATAATTTTTTTTATATCTTAATGATCAATTAAATTTTCAGATTTATGATGTTATTTTTGTAAAACATAACTATTATTAAAGGCAAACTGCTTCGCACTCTTCCTTATATTGAAAAATATTTGGAGTTGCTCCACATCCACCGTAAGTTAAGGGCTCACATTTCCCTTCATTAAAGACCCACATTTCAACGCCAGCCTTGCACAATCCTGTCACGCTGGGAGGAGCATTGCACATTCCTAAAAATAAATAATAATTCCCCTGATACAAAGAATTATTAAACATTTTGTTATGTGTACCTTCGTAGGGCGCGGCAAAATTACAAAATGTAAGGATGGCAATGGTAAGGAAATTAAATTTTGACTCCATATCGAATATTCTTGCTTTGATGGTTGCCAACTTATAATAAAACCTAATATGTTGTTAAGTATTTCTACTTTCCTAATGACTAAATGCTTTAATTAGAGTAGTTAAGTTCGGAAACGCTTAAATCCACTGGAAAATAAGTTAGGAAAGTAAAAAGTCGAAGTTCGTAATAAGTAAAAAGTGTTACATATTTTAATATTTGAATGTTTTGAAGATCAAATTTTAATTGACTTTTATTTTTTATCTAAGGCAAGCTGTTTCACATTCAGCTTTTAAATCAAAAATGTTTTTAGTTGCGCCGCATCCACCATATATAAAGAACTCACACTTTTTATCCTTAAAAGTATAACTACGAAAGCCAGCTTTGCACAATCCTGGTACGCTAGGAGGGGCATCACACTTCTCTAAAAGTAGACAATTAGAAAAATAGTATCATACATCATTTTTGGTAATTTTACCTTTGTCATACGCAATGCTAATAGTAGCAAAAGTAAGGAAAGCTAGGACGAGGTAAGTTAATTTGAAGTCCATGTTGTATCTCCTTTCTTTGGTAGTTGCAAACTGCTATTCAGGCTTATTACCAACGAATATATAGCAACTCAAATGAATAATCTCATTGAAATGGTCTTTTAAACCGTAGCCCGTTTGTAAAGTTTTTAAAAAATGGATGATTAAATTAAAGTGGAACGGATACCCTTTTTAAGTTGTGTTACCTTTTAACAGTTTGCTTACTCTTCAAGACCCTTTTCAAAAGTATGTAACAGCTAGAAACTAGCGTTTCCAAACCTAAAAACTATATATGTTCTTTATCAGGATCAAAAGCTAAGTCGATTAAGACATGCCCGTCTGTCCGAATGAACGCTTAGATCTCAGAAACTATTAAAGATACAATGTTGGGAAAGGGTATGCAGATTCTTGAGATAACAACACAGTACAAGTTTTCAAGCATCCTGCCACGAAAAATGTAACTAGTAGACACTTGCAGATAATTTATGTATAATTTATGTTGAAAGTTGAAAAGGATTTTATTTAAATTTTAAATTTACTTTTATGTTTTATGTAAGGCAAGCTGTTTCACATTCAGCTTTTAAATCAAAAATGTTTTTAGTTGCGCGGCATCCACCATATATAAAGAACTCACACTTTTTTTCCTTAAAAGTATACCTAGGCATGTAAGCCTTGCACCATCCTGGTACGCTAGGAGGGGCATCACACTTCTCTAGAAGTAGACATTTAGAAATATAGTATCATACATCATTTTGATAATTTTACCTTTGTCATACGCAATGCTAATAGTAGCAAAAGTAAGGAAAGCTAGGACGAGGTAAGTTAACTTGAAGTCCATATTGTATCTTCTTTCTTTAGTAGTTGCAAACTGCTATTCAGGCTTATTACCAACGAATATATAGCAACTCAAATGAATAATCTCATTGAAGTGGTCTATTAAACCGTAGCCTTTTTTGTAAAGTTTTTTAACAAATGGATTATTAAATTAAAGTGGAACGGATGCCCTTTTTAAGTTGTGTAACCTTTTAACCGTTTGCTTAATCTTCAAGGCCCTTTGTATATCCGTTATTTGTAAAGAAAAAGGGTATATTGTATTCGTTGAAAAGTATGTAACTGTTTGAAGCTAGCGTTTTCAACCCTAAAGACTTTATGTATGTTCATGATCAGGATCAAAAGCTAAGTCGATAAAGAGATGCCTGTCTGTCCGAATGAACTCTTAGATCTCAGAAACTATTAAAGATACAATGTTGGGAAAGGGTATGCAGATTCTTGAGATAACAACACAGTACAAGTTTTCAAGCTTCCTGCCACGAAAAATGTAACTAGTAGATACTTGCAGATAATTTATGTATAATTTATGTTGAAAGTTGAAAAGGATTTTATTTAAATTTTAAATTTACTTTTATGTTTTATGTAAGGCAAGCTGTTTCACATTCAGCCTTTAAATTAAAAATGTTTTCAGTTGCGCTGCATCCACCATATATAAAGAACTCACACTTTTTATCCCTAAAAGTGTATCTAGGAAAGCCAGCCTTGCACCGTCCTGTTACGCTAGGAGGGGCATCACACTTCACTAAAAGTAGACAATTAGAAAAATAGTATCATACAACATTTTGGTAATTTTACCTTTGTCGTAGGCAATGATAATAGTAGCAAAAGTAAGGAGAGCTAGGACGAGGTAAGTTAATTTGAAGTCCATGTTGTATCTCCTTCCTTTGGTAGTTACGAACTGCTATTCAGGCTTATTACCAACGAATATATAGCAACTCAAATGAATAATCTCATTGAAATGGTCTTTTAAACCGTAGCCCGTTTGTAAAGTTTTTAACAAATGGATTATTAAATTAAAGTGGAACGGATGCCCTTTTTAAGTTATGTAACCTTTTAACCGATTGCTTACTCTTCAAGGCCCTCTTCAAAAGTATGTATCAGGTAGAAGCTAGCGTTTCCAATCATAAAAACTATATATGTTCTTGATCAGGATCAAAAGCTAAGTCAATAAGGACATGCCTGTCTGTCCGAATGAACGCTTAGATCTCAGAAACTATTAAAGATACAATGTTGGGAAAGGGTATGCAGATTCTTGAGGACTGAAATAACTAACTAGTTGACACTTGCAGATAATTTATGTATAGTTTATGTTTTAAGTTGAAAAGGGTTTATTTAAATTTTAAATTTACTTTGATGTTTTATGTAAGGCAAGCTGTTTCACATTCAGCCTTTAAATTAAAAATGTTTTTAGTTGCGCCGCATCCACCATATATAAAGAACTCACACTTTTTATCCTTAAATGTATAACTAGGAAAGTCAGCCCTGCACATTCCTGTTACGGTAGGAGGGGCATCACACTTCTCTAAAAGTAAAAAATTAGAAAAACAGTATCATATATTATTTTAGTATTTTCACCTTTGTCGAAGGCAATGATAATAGTAGCAAAAGTAAGGAAAGCGAAGACGAGAAACGTTAATTTAAAGTCCATGTTTTATCTTCTTTCTTTGGTAGTTACAAACTGCTATACGGGGTTATTAACAACGAATATATAGCAATTTAAAAATTCACAATTATATGGTATATTTACCCCTGTTTGCAACCTGTTTTAAAAATTAATGATTCAACTGAAATGAAATTGAAACAATATGTATGATTTGTTACTCCTTAAGATCTGAACTAAGTAGCCCTTATATTTAAATAGTTAATAGTTAAATCATCTCAATAGAATCTGATCAAGAAGCAAAAAACAAGAAACACTTTTCAGCGACTTAAATATACCCGTTTACGTCAGAGAATAACAAGCTCACTTAAAATAGCTACTCTGAGTCTGAATACTTGTTATTTCCTCTTAATGGACTTAATATTTGAAATAACGTTCTCTGATCATAATTATATATTTGACATTATCTTTAATAATTAGCCTAATAAATGCCACTGCCAATTAACTAAACATAATTTGTGCTCAGAAATCACTTGATTTTCCATTAGACCACTAAAACCTGGCATGAGGTGAAACTTACTGAAAGTACCGGCTGAGTGCCCATCAATTTGGCAATTCCGACACATTAAATGCTGGTCAGATAAGCCCCGATGCACTCTCCAGGGCTCCTGGTGGCCACAAACACGCTGTGATGTCAGCAATTAACAGAGTCTAATCAGGGTAAACCCAGTTACCTGTGGCACAAATGATTCACTAATTGTCATTACCAGGGCAACAGCTCCGTGGACTGGATGCAGTGTGGCTCATACCAGTAGTCAGTTTTGTTTTGTTTCGTTTCAGTCATTAAAAGAGAAAACAAACTTAATGCCTGACTAATGCCCAAGCAGGAAAGCAGGAAAACAGGAGGAACTGGAGGAGGAACCGGAAAAGGAGCAGTCAAGGTGGCCAAGGCGAGCAAATAACCAACAAGCGTCGCCATAATGATAACAACGTGGATGACGTCCACAGCTGCAGGTGCTGACCCACACACAGCCATTAACACTTGCAGAAAAACTTTAAGATACAGAGGGAACAACCTTAACCCCTTATCTGCCATAAAAGTTATCTTGATAGTAAAAAGACATTATCAGTTTGATCACATTTTGATACAACAGTTTTTTTCGAGTGCCTCAAGTTGTTGAACATGACTTGGCCAACTTATAAAACCATTACGAATGACAGAAATTGCATTGGAGCTGGCATTTTAAGGAGCCAAAGCGGATTTACACACGCGGAGCTGGTAGGATCGAAATGCACGTGGGGTTAACTCGCTGCCATGTTCTGCCCGTCCTGCAATGTCCTCCTATCCACCACCAGGTGGTGCTCTCAGTTATGTGACTTTCTGCGTGCCGAAGTGTGCCCGTGTGTTGGGGACTTGTTATCCCGGGCATTAAATTGTTTGTACATGCAACAGACAAGACAACACGACACAAAAGGAACAGGAGGCGGACTATAAGTCAGCCTATTTGCTAGATAACAATAACAAAAGCTCTAACAAGCCATGTGAGCTCAGGAGGAGGAGAATGAGCTGTGCCTGGTGGATGATAGAGCCTCTCCTAGACTGGGGCTGGAACCTTGCCAGAGCTTTAAAGTAGCTTTTGTACATACGGAATTACGAAGTTGTTTGACTCTCTAAAGTATTTCTAAAGCAATATTGCATAAACTGAAGTTTACATTAAGATTAAGATCTGCCAGATTTTAAGTACCAATTAATTCAGACCCCAACTAACACTTATAATCACCCCATTAGCCATTCTTCGGGCTTATCCAGCTCTTTAAGTGTCTGCCACAGGAATTTGTATTGGCATGACAAATTATCTGCACTCCTTTGATGAAGCCACATCGCCGAGAACATTCCTCAAAAACGAGACAAGTTCGGGGGAGTTGACTCCAGTATCCAGAATCCTTGAGAGTCCTGGCTGGCAGGTATTGCCACTCCCCACTTATGTAGGTGTGCTCTTAGTTGAGTTTCGCTGGAGCGTGAAATATTTTATTGCCGATATAAATCTTGTTTATGCTCGGAAAGAATAAGAGTATAACTTGGCCAGAGGCAAGGATGCCAGACACTCCCTCTTTTCTTTATATTTTTTTTAACTGGTTTTCACCCATTGTGGCTCACTGACTTAGTTGATGTTTTTATCGGCAAAACCAAAACCAAAAAATTCGATTTAACTTAATCGAATCTGAGGCCCCGTAGAGTGTGATTCAATTCTTGGCTTGCCTAGACACTTTTCCCCAATATGTCGCCATTGTCAGACAAGTAGGACAAGGAGAATATCGGGAAAATGGGGGAAAGGATACGATGGGGTGTGGAGGAGGACTCAACTGGTAGAGAGCAGCCATGGCAATAACAGTGCAAAATTGGAAAGTAAATGTGAAAATCGTGTTTTAAATGCTTTCAACGTCAGGCCAATGCGACGGCAAAACACTTTCGACACTTTGGCATTTATCAAGTTTGGATCCGGCTGACAAAACAATTTAAAATTTGTTGCCTCGACAAAGCTGAACTAATTGAAATGTTTGCCTAGGTCAAAGTAACACATGACAGGATATCTCAAGAGTCCTGGAAATAAAACTTTAGTTTTGTCGTTAAGGAAGGCCGAGGTGGTGTGTGTAAGTCCTCAGGCTTATTTTGCAATTGTTGTTTCAAGTGCTGAGGCAAAATTAAAGTTTTCAAGTGCCTATTTCTTTTTATATACTTTGTTATGAAGTGCAATCAGGACATGATTCTTCGTAATTGGGAATAAATGAAAATTTTATTGAGAAAAACTTTAATGGTTTGAAAGTCACTGGTACCTTCATCCGAGCATAAATTCATTTTCCCACTTAACCGCATCTGTTGTTAATTAAAACCTAGACTGACTTAGAGTAATACTTTTATAATCACCATATGATTGCATATTCCTTCCATCTGTTGCTTGAAATTAATATCCTTAATGCCTTAAATTAAGTAAGCTAAGGACCGCGACTAGCCAGCTTAAAATGTGCTCATTAAGAGTCGCTCGACCGCAGGCCAGATGGAAATGAAGTCCTCTTCCCTTCGCTGCTCTCGCCTTTTTTCCGCGTTGTCATTTGCTGCTCATGAGCGTGTTAAAACTGCGTTGAAATGCAAATGCAAATGTCGCAGGCCATGAGGCAGCTCAGTTTTTCCGCTTTTCCACCCACTAATCCACTGCTAGCAGCAAGCAAATGGAAATGCTTATAAATTATGCAAGGTGTTTTTTGTTTGTGGGTGGGTGGACATCTGGCGGGCAGCAGACATTGTCATTGTGTTTATCCTTCATTTGGCAGGACTTGCTGCACTTTAAGGGGAGGGGGTGCAAGTAAAGGACGAAGTGGAGAGGCGCCTTGTTTATTCTGGCTGTGTTGTTGTTCTCCTAATAGCTGCGAGCATTGACTTTTGTTTGTGTTTGTGGCTTGTCACCAAACAGGACTAAAGCTTCTGCTTTGGCAGGACTCAGATGTGTCGGTAGGCAAAGGCGGGGCCAGGGACTGGGGTAGCTGACAAAGAGTTGTCAGATTTGCATCACAAAGCAAAAATCCTGCGGCTGGTTTTTGGCAGCTGGCCTTAAATAGTGCTTAAAGTTAGACAAGTCTAAACTAAGAATGTCCCATTTAAAAGTATATTGCAAATTAGGTACTGGCGTACTCCTTCTGCATTCAAGCCTCATTGACTTTCTGCATTTCAATTAATGCAAATGTCAGCAGACCGATCTAAGAGATTGCACTTCCAGCGAACAGCGAACAGCTGCATTGCGTCTAAATGCACGCGAAGAAAAAGGATGTTGACGGGAGAGTTACAGGATTCGATCTAGTTCATTACTCGTATGACATATTTTTAATATTTTTATTAGTTTTATTATTAAGTTAAGTTACTTATCTTAAACTTTCATACTAAACTCCAACTTTCCTAAAGTTTAAAAAACTTAAAATGGTTCATACATTTAACATAGGATCGGCAGAAAGTATAGTTCCTTATTAAAACAGCTTTAAATACATTAATAAGATCGGCGATTTTAACAGTTAACCCAGTTGATTTCTCACCCCGAAATTGGTTTGTTTTTCCCTCTGTACTGAGCCTGCAACAATTAGCGTGATTTTCAACGGCTGATGCAGCCGGAGAGAGTGAAAGTGGTAAAAGCGCTCTGGAACGAAATGCAAATCAAGCGATGCCTGCACCAAAAACGACACACAAACAAATCGCCAACTGCCGCAGTGCCAGCCGCTGCCTGTCCGCATTTCGAATGCCACAGAGTTGCAGCAATTCCAACGAATTCAATTTGTCTCCAGGGAGGAGGAGGATGAGCATGGTGAAGAGGATGAGGAGGAGCGGAACTGATGGGACTGCCTTTGACAAGTCGCTCCGCCAGCGTCACGTAAAAAGACCCCGGACGCAGCTCCGTTTCCTGGTCCTGGGTTCCTTGTTGCCGCCTGACACGTGTGCAACATGCAGCTCATGACAGACAACTTTGTTGCTGCTGCAGCTCATTTTTAAAGGGTATATGGGAATATTAGACTGATAGAAGGCAAATCTATTTTTAGCTCTAAAAATAGAATTTAAATCAGGTATAATTTATATTTTTAAACTTCTAATAATAGCCCATTTGCTAATTTATTGATAATTTTTTAAAGGGTATTCAAAATCCCTAACGTTTTAAATTTTCTTTTTAGAGTCAGTATCAGCGACGAGGTAACCGTAAAAAAAAACACCCCTTTCAGGTAGGAGCAGAAAAGTTTTCATGGCTAAAACTTTTACGCGCACGATTTGACAAGTCAAGCTGGTTGTTGCTGCTGGCATCTTCAGCCGAAGTTGGTTGCCACATGTTTCCGGGCTTTCTCTTGCAACCTCTGCCCCTCTGAACAGACTTCACACAATGCATTTGGTTACTACGGCAGACCCGAAAACCCATAGTTTGGGGTTCCACAAGCTCTCTTTATACCCCATACTAAACACTTTTAAATACTTATGTGGTGGTTGGATGGCTTAGGAAAGGGATAAACTTAAAGTGGGATTTACATGCAAATTATAAAAAATAAAAGAGAAACCTTACTAGTCAAAATGTTAAATAATGAGTAAATGTAGCTATCTTAAAGAGTATATAAGAATTAATAGCAATAGAACTTTTTAATAATATCATAAATAATTTATACATTTATTCTTTTAGATTTAGGTATGTATTAAGTCTACGAGCACAAGCAGTATAATATTTAATATAAAATTTATAAACTAGCATAAACTACTTTCTCAATGTATAGTTTGTTAAAGAAAGAGTAAGAACTTAGAATCATAACTTAGTGGTTTTAATATCCTTACTCTGCTGCTGGGCATCCTATTCGAGTATTCGTTGTCAAACCCACAAGTTCCTCTCGTTGGCCCCTATCTTAATTGGCGTGCGTGTGTGTAGTGAGTGTGAAAAGTTCATTAAAGTTTCACGTGCGAAATTATATAAAATTTTAAGTGCATGACTTGGCCGCGTGTCTGCTCCCAACAGTTCCCTACAGCTCCTGGCTTCCTGCCACAGCCCAAGGGCTAGACGGAGCGTTACGGGGCACGGAAGTGCAAATTATTTTCCCCAGACATTTTGCAGTTGTTTACGCTTAATTGCTACCGCCATTGCAGTCATTACTTCATCCTGGAATGATTTATTATTTAATTGAAAAATAAGTGCTTCCTTTTGTGGGAAATTTTTTAGGGAAATACAGCATAGTTGTTGATGTGAGAATCTTTCATAACGAGTGCAAATTTAAATTAATTATATTGTCTCCCTTAATCACCAACAAGTGGTCTGTCCTTGGCTTTCGTTTTTTAATGACCTGTATAAATATTTATGCAAATTGCCTTCCACACGAATGATTTCAAAAATATTTACTTTTTAAAACCAAATTACCCAAACCACAAAAGAACACTCTGCCCCCGCCCAACCCGTTCAAATGTCAAGCGCACAATTTTGATTGATTTTTCTACACGAACGCTTTCAATTACTGTGCCCCCCAGTATCTGACTTTCTTCAGTCCTATCTCCATCACTATCCCTTCAAATGAACACATCCTTGTAGCCTACATTTCCCTCCCTCAAATACAATAACCAAAGTCATGCTGTGACACCTCCAGTCATGCTGAATCCTGACCCACGCCAACTTGTTGCATCCGAAATCAACTGTGATTCCCGGTTCACTGGAGAAATCACCAATAAAAAAATGCGAACAGGATCTGGAATTCTCTGGCCAAAAACTGTCAGTGACACTTACAAATTGGATTTTCGACAGCGGCAACAAGACTTGAAGGACACACCATTATCGCATGCTGGCGTAAAATCGCTTAAAAAGATATCCCAAATAAATAATGTCGCATGTAAATAACAACAAATCAATTTTTAAATAGACAAGATGAACCCGAAACACGCACAAACAAATACGAGACCCCATTCCTGACAACAATGAACCCTCTTCATCAGTGGGCTTAATGTATATGTGAATTTTTTGGAACAGTGGTAGAATTTAAACTAAAACTAAACTTTTCTAAGTGTATATAAAAAAAGTTTTGACTTCATTTTTACCCAAAGTTATTGGATGCAGGAATAATATTATTTCTTCAAGTTAAGTAAAAGTAAAAGTTGTTCAGTTGTTTTAAAACTGTAAGAATCTGATCAATAACCCCAAAACCTTTTTTGGGGAAATAGAGATTTACAATCTTAGTTTTTTTTCAGATTATTAATATATATAATGATAAATTCATAAAAATATTTAAAATTTCTTGCGCTCAAATATTGATCCTTAAAAAAAAATATTGTTCCTTATAGATTCAAATAGAAAAGTATGCCTACTAGCATGAGTTACCACTGTGCCACATGCCGTTTAGCAAAAAGGTCTTTCTCCGTGTCAGATCCAGGCACTTTCACTTAGCCGATGCCAATGGCTTTGATAGAATCAAGTTCACAGTGGGCCGCCAGGTAGCCATTCATCTCCCGCTCAGCCCTCCTCAGCCACTCTACAAAACTCAGAGACAGAGGTTGTTAGCTGACTTTTGGAGGGAACTGTGTTGTTTCTGGGCTGTTCATGCGGTTCAATGACATGGCCTGACTGAGGAGGACTTGGGCGACGGGCCGATTTAATTTTGATTAATTGCGGTAAATGTTATGTTAATTTGCTGGCACTTTTTTGGATGACTGCCTGGGCTGCCACGCCTGTCAGACTGTCTGGCGACCGATTTTAGATAAGCGGCTAATGTGAGACTATTAGTAGGCGGGTCGGTAAACTAATTTTCTCCCAAAGGCTGTCACACATTGTGTTTAAGTCTGTGTGCGTGTGTGCAGATTTCTCTGGGTTGACAAACACTAATTAATTGCAATGAGCTCCACTTTGAAGGGGTTTCCTTTGACGCTTTTGGCTTCTGCTGTTGATTGGAGCATGCTAATTATCGAGGGACTGTCAATCATTTTGAAGTAAGTGGGTGAATCTGAGCTTAATGGTGATTAAACATATTGTTAGGTTATTTGCTTTTAATTGATTAAGAATTTTGATTAAGAAACTAACCGAGAATACTTCAATTATAAAAAAAGGAAGGCATTTATTATAAATGGAAATTAAATGAAAATTTCGAACATAGTCGGCTTAAATCTAGTTTTCAATGATTTTTTGGCAATAAACTTTCAATATTGACAATTACACTTTTTTGTAAATCTTTTAAGTTTTCAAACACATATTAAACCTAATAGATGGAAAGCATTGCAGTGGGCCTGGCGGCCTTTTTTGAACTGATGGGCTGCCAGTTTTTCCTTCCCCAACCAAAGGATCGCTGCTCCCCAGCTCCAGATTTGGCCAGCTGGATTTTCTTGGCTGCAACGGTGTGTTTACTATGGGATATCTCCATCTATCCTCGTCGATTTATGCACATGGGTCGTGCTTGGCGTGTCCTGGTTGAGACTATGGCAGCCATTTTTATAGCGGAGTTGGGCACCATCGTCATTTGGTGTGGCATCGAGAGGTTCCTGTATGGTGTGACGGATGAGATCTTGCATTTGATACGAAATAGCTGCCGACCATCACCCTATTTATATTGGATTTCTGGACTTATTACCACCTTTGTTAGTGGGGCCTTTCTGTATTTCGTCCTTAGAGCAACCGATAGCATATACTATATAAATAAATTCGTTTTGGAGCTCTGGACTACCATAAAGCTATCCTTGCGGATGCTTCGCTGCTATATGACAATGAACACCAGGGGCAGACGTCAGGCCTTAAAGGTATGTCAATTAACCGGAAAAATGACTAACAGAAGATCATCGTCGCGTAGATGCTCTACACCGAAAGAAGAAGAATACAATTCTGACTGACCTGTTTTTCCTATTTGGTATTCTTGTCAACCCATTAAAGGTGTTTTATATCCCCTTTAAAGAATAGTTTTTCTTTCTGGCCATCTATAGCAATAACTCTTGCTGGAGAAAGACACAAAGGCAAAGGAAAGTGTCTTTTTTTTCAGTTTTTTTGGGGTTAACGCAGTTGGCAATTTAGAAGCCAAAAGAGGGTCATCGGCCTGAGATGTTGTTGGTGTCTAATGGAAAGAAGCCGAAATTTAAGAAGTTTATTTACCCTTAATGTTGTAGTTTGCAATCAGCCTTTATGAACTTTGAAAACTGTATAGTTGGTGAAAGTTATTAACATGTTGCTATCAAACAAGTCTTCATAGTTCTTTAAGAAACTAAGCGAAAATAAGACAATTTAATTTAACAAACTCAACCTTAAATATTAATAAAAATGTTCGTTGTCTTTACAAGTTTTTTATACCAACTGATAATAAATGAATGCCATTTAATATCAAGTTATTACAGTTGTGATGCGTTCATTGTGTTGATGAAAAGTTCATGGCTTCACCCCAAAAAAAGACAGAATAAGATGTACCGATTATTCATCGAAAGGAGCATTTCTCATACGCCCTGTCAGCCACACCCTCTGGCTGTGTGCGTGGCCATAACAAACACTCACACAATACACAAACGAACACACAAAAAGGCAGCTGAAAATGAATAAAAATGGGCGTGTCAGACGAGTTGCAGACAATCAGAGAACACATTTGGAGTTTGCCATGCATTTCTCGGCAGCAGCAATAGCGGCCATATGCTAACTTTGATTACTTCTTCTGGCTTTTATCGCAGATTTCCATCCCTCCCCAAAAACATTGCTGCCATTTCCCAGAGAAATGTAAGCAGCAATGGAATAGCGCAGAGAGGGAAAGCGAAGAAATTGTATTTCATTTTCCTGGGCCTGAGAAAAGACGGAACCGGATATGCGACATTTTATCAAGTCAGGCATAAATCAGCAGCTTATGCTGGGGATATCCAGTTGGTGGTGGTGGTGGTGTGACTACAATTTCCTCGCCTTAACTCGGGTTTCACTTACTTTCGTTGTTCCTGCATGTTTGAAACTGGCAAATAATTTATTTTGCATAAATTTGCCAGCACTTAACGATGGGGATCTACGGGCACACCTATGTTACTGCAACCCACCAAACATCCAAACCCGAACCTGAAGAATAAGCGCGAGGAATATGTTCCGTGTGCGGGTCACGCTGAATTATGCCATCTAATTTGTCTGCAGGCAGGTGGTGCTCATTAATCTTACCTCGCTTATGAGCCGCTACGCTGTCTCCGTCTGTTTTTCTTGCCGTAGTACCCTCCCGCCGTAGCACACTCCTGGGACTCTGGAATACTGGGATCCTGCTCTGCAGATAAGCTCTTCGCCTTGGCAGCGGGCTCACGTAGCGGGTTTTGTGATTTCCTTTGCCCGCTTCAATGCCAGGCGTGGGATTTTACATGATACGCTTTTGGGTTAAGATGCATTAACTATAGTTATCATTTGGAGCATATATAGGGTCTAATAAATAAGAAATAAAATAAAAAAGTAAAACTATATAAAAAAAATTACAAAATATAAAATGTATAATATATAAATTTGTAAATATCCAACGAAGGTACAAAAATAAAGATTTCGATTCAATTTTATATTTTCTTTTAGTTAAATAGATTAACTGTTGATGGCGAAAAATGTAAACCGAAAACCAAATACAGAAATCTAATAATAATGAATAGCAACTTTTTAATATTTATTAATCATAAAACAGGGTATCTATATACCTTATAGAATCCGAAGTTGTGTAACTCCGCCCGCATAGTTCGGCACCTGACTCCAGCCTAATGCTTAATGGATTTGCGCTTTGATGTGCCAACTGCCTGTACGTGTATCAAAATCGTACAGGGATGTGTATATGGGTATGTGTGTGTGTTTTTGGCCTGGTTGTAAGTGGTTAAGTGTCTATATTAGACGCCATCACTTGCAGTTTCCCATTTCTAAGGGCCACATGGTATTTTTTGCCGGTGTTTTTTGGTCCATTTTACTGCAAAGGTGGCAAACATAAATTTCCCTCTAAATGGCCTTATGAGGGCGGCCTCGAAGCTGATCCTCTGTTTATGGCCTGGCCAAATGAAAAGTGAGTGGGAGTCGAATTCGCATTTGGCTGAAACGTGTGTGTGTGTGTGGGAGAATGCCTCATGCTTGGCCCTTTTAAATTAAAAATCCTGTCCGTGGCTTCTGTTTGGAGCGGCCCTGAAATTGAATTTTCCTTCCGCCCCGGTTTTGATTAGCATAAAATGCGGTACGTGTCTTGGTTTGCCTGAAAAACGTGTGGTAATGGTGAGGATGATGATGGGTCCGTGTAGAAAAATCATTGAAATATTGAATGCTTTTTCAAAGAATTTTTATTTCTGTTAAAATGTATTTCGTTTTTGTTTTTGCACACCACAATTTGTTGTTGTTTATTTATTATTTACCATTTCCGGATCTTATTATTTTTCAACATTTAAAAATTCGCTTTGTTTGTAAACAGTTTTGGGTTTTTTCTTCTTCTGTTCTAGACACTTTACTTACAATAAGTATTGTAGAAATGTTATTACACTGCACTGTCGACATTTATTTTTAATGAATTTTAGTTAGTGTTTGAGATTAACTATATACATACAGATTTATTCTTGCAAAAATTCATGTAATTTACGTTCAGCCGGGCTCTTGTTTCCTGTCTGTGGTGGGTGATTTCTTTCAAAAGGATTTATTTCTTGAATCGATTCTGTATGCAATGGTTTATTTCTGCCACTTTTTGCATTGACCGGTCTAAACTTAGTTATTTGCTAGGCAAAAGTTAAATATTATTTTAGTATCCCACTTGTGTTTTTTAAACTAACTATATTCCTATTGAAACAATATTTATTTCAATGAGAGTTCGCTGTCCCGCTACAGCATCTCTTATATCAAAAGATTCATTTCCTCTTTCATTTAAGATTATGTAAAATTATTTTAATTTAACCTTTAGTTAAAAAGTTTGCTCAAGAATTAACAATACATATTATTTACTCTTTTCAGAATTTTCCTAATTTTGAATTTTCGGTTTGGTAATATAGGAAAACGTGTTTGGTTTTCTTTCTAAATTGAACAGTATTTAAAGCAACGATTTCCTTATACATTTTTAAAGTAATAAATCTATATGGAAACGAGAAAAAATGCTTAATCGGCAAGCCGAAACCAGAAATACTCTTACACAACAATTAGGCAATTATTTAACATTTTAATCAGAGTTTGGCTAAGTTAATAAAGAGTAAATTTAGAACGACGCACATTCAGACCAACGGATTTGATTACACTGACTAATTGGAACCACTTCCCTCACCACAGAGTTCGGCCCATGATATCTAGTTAAATCTATATGTCCAACTATTTTCCATATACACTTACAACGAGCTTTGGTTTTGGTCGTTAAAAAGCCTTCAATTTTTTTTAAGTCTGAATCAAAATTGTTCGTCTTCGTTTGTTAATCATTTTTTAGCACATCAAAAACTATAAATATTGGACCAAAAATTACCATTGAACCTTATTTAAAGTCAAATATGTCTTCTACTTTTTTTTAGCTTTTCTTTCATGTTCAGTTTCATTTTCTTTTGGTTAGTCCTTGACAGTCATACTCAAATATTTACAGTTCCATGCGTTTAGCTTTTCTCATTTTCCAGCTTTTCTTCTATGAATACATAAATCAATTAACATTTATGGGAATAAATGTCGAAGAATGAAAACTTAGCACTGAGACTCCACAAAATACTTATTTACAAGGTCAACCACACCATACGGACCGCTATCAGTGGTGGGTGGGATTGAATGGGTAGAGGATTGAATGGGTCACGATGGGACACCAAGGACACAAATGTCGTCGCCGTTTTAGTTTTTGGCTGTCGTCGTTGTCGCCGTCTTTTGTGTGCGTCTTGTCGACACAGTTTTTGCTAGCAAGTTCATTGAAATGGTGGCAGTCAATGTGTCAGATAAACAAGCCCTGTGACACTTTTGGCCATGATTCAGGGTCTGATCCCGGGGAAAACGGAGCGTGCGAGTCAAGTGTGGGAATTTATAGTTGGCCATGCAATTTTTGCTTCCCAAGATTTGCACAATAAACACCTTGGACTTGTTGTTGTTGGATAGAGTGAGAGTTTCCCAGGACCAGGGAGAGATGGTGCTTTATCGCTAGTTGGCTGCACAGAAATGGTCACATTTATATGGGAGGATATGCGGGTAGCTACTCTTTTGACCCCCGTCCATCCTTTGTTTGCCTGGACGTGCTTGGCTGCATGGATAGTCAGCCAGCCATCCACCCACACACAGGCATACAATCCTACATGCACGCTGCCAATGACAGTTGTCAACATGACAGTTATAAGGACACTGATACAAATGTTACGGATGTTTGTCTTGGCCAGACAAGAAATGTTGTTTGTCGGATGCCGTAAGTAGAGAGCAAAGATTGATTAAAACAGCTGATAAATGGGTGCGAAATGTGAAATGTCTGCTTTGAAAATTAATGGAAAGTTTTCAAAAGGAAAGGCAGTGACATAGGGACTTACTTTAAATTATCAGTTTAGTTTTAGGAAATTGTTAAGTTCCGTAATTTATGATTTTGAAATTTTTATAAAGTCACATATAATGCTTACCATTTAAGAACACATGAAGTTAAATTTTAGAAACACTATTTTATACTTTCTTAAACCGTTGAGCAATCGAGCTTAACTTGTCATAGATTTTCAGTAGCTAGACGTTTAATTTTATGTACATTTTGAGAAGATTGTAAAATTTAAGATTGGAAAACAGAATTATTGCAGTGTTAGCTGAAAAAATGGTTATAAATGTAATGGCCGCAAACTGAAAAATAAAACAGAAATCTTTCTTTAAATATTCATCATGGGATATACCAGAAATTTAAGTAAACAATAGAACTGGGCAATAGTTTGAGTATGATTGACCGTGGCTTTAAAACTTCAAAGGATTCAGGACCTTGTGCGACTTCTTAACCGATTAAAGATCCTTTCAGCATTAAGTTTAGAGTAGCACATCTAAAGATTCATTCACAATACACATACATTAGAATTCTTACATCTTTTAAGCTTTACCTTACTTTCACCGAGTTGCAGTTTTTGGAGCAGTTTTAGGCAGTTCTGTCAGAAGTTGGTAAATCTTATCTTTAGTGCGGGAAATCCCAGTTAATGTCCGGCAATCAATGCCTAGGACCTATGTAGATTCCACCCAAACTATCGCCACTATCGCCGCCCACTCCACTACCCTCACCGTCCTCATCGACCTCATCGTTATCCAGAAGACCATCATCCAATCCGATGGCTTCCGTTCCGTTCTCCTGGCCACTCTGACCATTGTTGATGGTGGCTCCCTCGTAGGTATCGCTGTCTTCGACGAGGCAGCAGTCCCCACACTCGTCCGTCGAGGAGTTGATTTCGTCGCTGAGATCGTCCAACAGCGTCACCTTGGGAGCACGAAACTCATCCTGACAGCCCATTGAGACTCCCGCGGAGGCAACCGAAATCTTGATGTTACAGTTCGTAGAGGCGTGGCAGGCATGGGCATGTGGAATGGGCTGCTGAATTGTGGACACCTGGGATGCACCTCCGTGAGCTGCCCGGAAACTCAGATTGGGGGTTCGCTGACCCATGCTGGCCATACCGGGTGGCATCTGCGTATGCGACATACTCAACGTGGGCGGGACATTCAGCACAGTCGCCCCACTGCCCGTCTTGTGGGGGTGGGCGTGGCCCGAGTACATCAGCTGGTGCGTATCTGAGGCTAAATTGTGGGCGGTCAACTGCAACGGATGCTGATCCTTGCGTTCTGTTGAATGAAGAAGGGAGAGAGGAGAGAAAAGATGGCAACTATAAACACTTCAGTTTGCAAAGTATCTGAAGGATGCGGACACGGAAGCGGAAGTGCATTCGAGGACATGTCGGCGATTGGTTTATCGCCTCCACATTGTGCAGGCATCTGTAAGGACTTCAAGTGAATGAGCCAGCACTTCGCGTCCCTCAGCACTTCCGCCTTTCAGTGGTTTGGTATTTTGTGAATGGGACACTTTGTACCCTGTCTTGAAATGAAACTGGGTTTCTAACGAAGCTTTTTATAATCAGTACGGGAAATCAAATTTAAATGAATAAAATAAAATGCGTTGATTGTGTTCTATTCTATGTAGTATTTCTTGGTCTGCAAGTCCTTTGTAGAGGGAAAACTGTTTGGTATGGTTAGTGCTTTCTAATTAAGTTTTTAAATCTTTGGTTTGGTGGTAATTTAACACAGTCTTTAACTTATAATGTGTGTTTTAAGTGCATTAAAACCCTTTTTCACTATTATCAATTAGCGTTGAGAATAAAGTAATAAAAAATATTCGGCAAATTTCAAATATTAATGAAACTTTGGCAAGGTTATTTTTTGACTTTCTATTATTTATTATAATTATTATTTTTACCATGTGATTCTTAGTGGTTAGTGATTCTTAGTGGTTATCATCATTAAAATTAAGTTATTATTACCAAATTTTTGTAGAAACTTTATGTAAAAGACTCATCAAGATTAATAAAATTAAAACAAGCCAATAACAGCCCTTTATTACCAAAACTAGCAATCAGATTAGGGAATACTCCCCGATCCCAGGCTCTACTTTTTTTAAGAGTGCAATGTATGGACGTGAAAACTTTCCCGTGACTCCCTGCCCTCGACCTGACAAGAACCATTGTCCTGGCCATACAATGGCTCTCAAACTATGTATGTGGTTACAAGTGGGTTCAACTGCGTTGGCCTCACCTTTTCCGCCGTCTCCCCCACCGCCCCACAATTATCTGTCCGCAAAACTTTCAACTAACGTTTGGCCTGAAAGGGGGGAGACTCTTCGTCTGACGGCGGAGGAATACACATAGCCGAAGGAAACCCATCATCAACTCACCCAGGGGGCCAAGAAGTTTCGGCTGGAGCGGCAGCATGAAGTCGTGGCCAGTCGTCGCCGCCCGCGGCTGAAGGCTCTGCACCGCCGGCACGCTCAAGTAGTCCGCTGCAAAGTCAGAGGAGGCGGCCCGGAAAAGCCGGGGAAATGCGTTAGTGCCGTCGGAGCAAACAATGTAACGGTGGCCGAGCCAAGGCAAAATTTTCCCCCCCAAAACAACCGAAAAGAAAACAAACACGAAAGCAACATGAAAAAAAGACAGCTAAGAAGGAAATGGAAAACCCAAGGCGGTGTGGGTTTGGTTTACAAAACTTTAAAAAGGCACGCAGCTAAAAATTTCTTCTACATAGCATTCGGAAAAAAAGAAATTTGTAGGAAAAAGTGAAAAGTTGCGAAATAATTTTTAATATTTCTATAGATAAAAACACTCACATAAATAAATATATATACAACATTATCAATTCTATCAACAGGCACTTGACGAGCGGACGTGAAAAACTTTTAACTTGCCATAATTACAAGTGGGGGAAAATCTATTTGGAATCAACTTTAAGAAAACAAAGTTTAATGGAGGTTTTGTAGAAAGAAGCTAAAGAAAAGGTTAGTGGAAAATAAATGTATTAAGCGAAAAAGAAAACGATAAGAGCATTGAAGTCTTTATATACGCTGGACAAGTAAAAAAGTTAAAAATCAGTTTAAAGTCACATTACATTATTCGAAAACAAAGTTTATTCTGGTCTTTAAACATTCAAATCTCTGTTTTCCTCACCAAACATATCTTATTCAAATTTAACCAATGGAAAGTTGTCACAGAGAACTCCTCCACTTAACAAGGCAATCCATCAAAGGACCTACGTTTCTGGAAAACTTTTAACTGTAATTGACAGTTGTTGAGAAGTTGTTACCGTGAAAATTGGTTTACTTTTGCAGTTCGTATTTGAGCTGGTGCAACAACTTTAAATATTAAAATTAATTTGCCCGTGCTCCCAGAGCACTTGGTGGTGCAAAGAACAAAATGAAATTGCAGCAAGTGAAAAGCGATGAGGAATGGTTTTGGATTTTTTCACAGACTCTCAGATGCCTTTAGGTGAGTGGGCATCGGCGCCCACGCCACTGTCGGCCTTAATTGAAATTCCTCTTTCTGGCCATCGTCGTTGGTCTGCCTTTGGCATTCAGTCTTGGCCCACTGTGGCCATAAATTGTTCAAGCCTTTCGCCCATGCCTTTTTCTGAAGAGTAGCTCTGTTTGTGTGCATTTGGTAAATGACCACTACAAGATCGTAGAAATAACCCGTAACCCTGTTACCATCCAGCAGCCACTTGGCCTGCTAATGATTTAGTTGCTATTTTTATGCACCGCAATTTGCAACCTAAAAGTGGTAAGGCAAAAGCTTTTCCCCCTCTCCTTTCAAGTTTCCACACCTTGACATAATGCAAAGCAGCTTAGTGAGAAGAAAAGAGTAGCGAACAGGAACCGTGCCAAATGTCACCGCTCCTGCATTTCCGGCAAACAGAGAAATGTCATTTGCCCCAGTTCAGAACGTGCCAAAGTATGCAACACTTTTTCTTCTTGCCTTTTTTAGCCAGAAAATGGGGCCAGTTGCGACTTCTAAGCGGCTTATAAAAACTTTCGCTACGTGTGAACCGTTCTTAAAATAAAATAAAAACAACAACAAAGAAAACGTTAAATAATTACATTGCTCAAAGCATCTTAGATTGATTTTAAAATGCTTGACTGCCCCTAAAAGTGTTTGTAAAAAGAATTTTTGCCCCGAAAACTGGAGGAAAAGATGAATATATAGTTTTGGTTACTGTTAAATTTTTCCATATTTTTAAGAAATCATTTTAACAAAGTTCCTTTGCGGGAAATTACTAGAAGAGCTACAATTAAACTTCTATCATAGCAAACTTTAAGCCCCTGACCTTTTCTATGTATAACTACAGCTCAAAACTTTAATCTCTTTTTCGAATTAGCATTTATGGTTCTTTTTTCTTTTAACACTTTCTTTCGAGAAACCCTGTCCTCTTCTTCCCACTATACAACATCCTAGTAAGTTCAACAAAGCAACTTTCAACTTTTGACTGAATTTCTTAATTTTTTTTCTGTGCTCTTTTCACAAGCTCACAACTGGCTGAAGAAATTAATCGCCTTTAGAGCCGCAAACTGCCTTCCGTTTTCCCATTTGAGTATGGCCCCAGGTCCTTATTTTTCCTGGACAAAAGAAAAAGGAAAAGTCGAGATTTGAGCTTGCACACTTGAGCTTTTGTGGCTTTAATTAAAATGCACATCATGCAGAAATTTTCCTGACCAGGTTCCTCTTATTATATAGAATTTTTTTTTGACAGGTTTTCCTTTCCCATTTTTTTTTTTAACATTTTTTTTATTCAATTTTATTTTATTTTTCTTTTTTTTTTGTTCAGTTCGTTTGTGAGGTGGGCTATTTTCCAGCGCTTTGGTGGACTGGCGAGAAAATGGAAAAAGTTTTTCAATTTGTTTGACGATAAATGAACTTTATTTCTATATATGTTTGAGTACTTAAGTGTGGGCGGGAGCATATAGAAATGTGTGCGCCGGTTTGGCCTTTTTGAAATATGACATAAAAAGGATTTTCGCCTAGAATAATAAAATTGCAATTAAAGTTAAATGCCGAAAATAAAAAGAAGTTACCAAAAAGCTTTTAATATGCAAATAAACATAAAAAGTTCTTCCATTTCTTTCCACCCCCACGATTTGTGTTTGTTGCAACCTCTTTTATTGACTGACTTTCGGAGTGACAAAGTTATAGCATTCGGGTGAAATTTATAGCATGCAATAAATTTTAACAAGCCCTCGGCAATGACACTCGGGATTGGGGAAGTCTTACCCTCCTCCTATAGGACTAATTGTAGGAGTCTGTAAGAAGATCTTACTGAGGCTTTAAAGGAAATACACTGGGAGCTAAATTTGTTAGTATGGCATAGGATTTCAGTTAAAATTTCTGATAAATAAAGAAACCTCTTTAATTTATTATAAATCAAAAGGGCGTAAGGATTTCGATAATTTGATTTTGGTCTTGAACAACCTCTGTAATAAACAAAGTAATAAGTTTATTAGTTGTAAGTCATTAATAAAACTAAAGGTAAGTCAGTCAACGAAAATATAAAATATCTGCACATATTTCACAGATTATAACAAATTGGTTTTTGAAATATTCAATTCTATCCTATCTTTTTTTCATTTCAATAACGTGTTATATCCAGATAGTTATCATTATTCAATTTAAACTAATTTTCACTAAATGATTTTATATAAATATACATATTTTGTGACTTTTCCCTAAATGTAATTTGAAATAATAATTTATCCTTCATTAAAGCTACGATTTATAAATATATCAAGATTTTTTGCAAATTAATCTGTAAAATAAAATTCTGTAAAAATAAAATTAACAACCGGTGCTTAATTTTCTGAGTGCTTTCAAAGGCATAAAAAGAAAATTTCTGCAAATGGTTAACAAACATTTGTACACGTGCAGCATGCCAAGACAGAGACATAGGGCGACAAACGGGTAAGAGTCAAAGAGCAAAAAGAGAGCGGTGAAAGGAGAAAGAAGAAAGTAGAAAGGGGCATGAACAAATAGACAGATAGGCACAAGACAAGACAACACTTACAACTGATGAATGAGGGACCGGCGGTGGCGGCTGCGGTTGCTGTGGCAACGGCTGCTGTGGCAGCTGAGCCTGTTAGCGATACCGGTGACGTCATCGACGACGACGCCGCCGCCGCTGCCGCTGCCGCTGATGCGGGGCCAAGGCCAGGGGCGTGGGCGTGGACGTGGGCATGACCATGGGCGTGACCATGACTGTGGGCGGGCGGGGGCTGGAGCATAGGCACTTGGTAGGTCATTGCCGACATCGGCGTCGGATCAGCCACATTCGTCGTCGTCGTCGTCCTTTGCGCAGGATGTAGGCCAATGACATTGATGCCGTTCACGTTCACGGTGCCTGGGATTACGAGTATTTACCGCCGGACGGATGATGCATTTACATTCGGATACACATATACAGCACACGCATTCGTTTACATGTTTGTTTTTTTACACCAACACACACAAAAAGTAACAAGTACAAATACAAATAGACAAACATTAAAAGAATAGAAACAATAAATACAGTTTTAGAACAATATGCAGCATCATTAAATTTATGGGAGTTTAGGTTTTAGGGGTAGGAGAAAATGTTAAAGTTTTCAATTTTGTAAAACCCCAAAAAGAAATTTATATAAACAGACACTTAAAAATTTAGGGATTTTAATTAATTAAAAGCAGTTCGAATGGTGAAATTACACATAGACACATTTAGATAACAAAATTTATTGTTTAGACAATTTTGAATAAATTCAGATGCGTTCTATTTTACCAATTAAATAAAATAAAGTTTTTTGAAATGAGTAAAAAAATTAAGAGGTTCGTCTTCTCTCTGTGTTTTATAATCTTTCAAAGGGAAAGTTAAACTAATAGTACTTGTCCACCTCAAGTCAAATTTGTAACTATTATTTGTATTCCCTGGAGGCTATATAACGACCATAAATAATCGGGATTATCTCAAGTCAACAATAATGAACTTAGCCGTACGGCAAAGTTAACTCAGCAAGGGAAAATATATCCACAAGCCGGAATTGGGAGCATTAAGCAAAACCGAAGCGATTATAAATCCTCGTACGACATTAAATTTATAACCCTTGGTGAATCCGAAATTGCTCTGCAATTGCAGCTGCTGGTGGCTGAGGATAGTGGGAAATCTTGTCCTCGGTTGAGTGCATATATCCACTTAAGTCCTTTGGCCTCCCATCCCCTACCCAGGGGGCCCGGCAACCTCATCAGCATCCAAGCCACTCGCATGTGGTGAAAGCCCTGCCTTCAATGCTTTTGAATAATCAGTAAAATGGAAATTTACCACATGAAACTCCCCAAAGGGAGGTGGTAGAGAAGGGATAGGGGGTACAATCTCCGGGGGAAACTGCAGCGCCCCGGGGAATACTAAATGCTAAATAACAGCTGACTCGCCCAGTGAAGGGTGCATAAATAATAAAATAATTAAACAAGAAATTCAATGAAATTAATTCAGGCCCCAACAGCGAGGGAAAAGCAAGAGCCACAGCGAGTATCTGTGTATGTGTGTGTTTGTGTGTGAGTATCTGTGTGATATATGCCGCATGTGACAGTGTATTAGTTTGTAGCACTGAGACTGCTCTAAATATCTGCAGGCCGAAAAGCAACAAAAAAGAAAATTAAATTTAATACAATCTTAAAGTAAGAAAAAGAGACAGACAACTGAGTTAATGTCGAAAATTCCAACATTTTTGATACCCTGTACTCGTTTTTTTATATACCTTTTTAATATAAGAACCTAAAAGTAATCTTCAATCTTATGCTTGTCAAAACCACCTTGTAGTTCCCTTGAATTTAATGAATTTTCTGAAAGATTGAGGTTTTTCCGAGTACCGGGTATGCAAGAAGCCAGCAAGCCAAGACTCACCGATTTTGGCACCACCGAATGCATCCTTGAACATGGGCGCCCCTGCAGCGGGGTGACCCACAGCATGGCCACCGAGTCCTGGCCCTCCTACTCCCACCGGACCAACGCCCCCGGCCACCAATCCCGACCCTGTGGGTGGTGTCTGTTTAATGGCATTCGTCCTTCCGCGGTGCGGAGCAGTTGGCTCCCTTTTGCGACGTGGTTGCTCCACGGGCAGGACACGTCTTCTCTTCTTGGGCAGTTTGGAGCGAGCCTGGGAATTGAAACACAAATGTGGGTAAACATCGCGGACAAACAGCTTTCCGGACCGCCATCTAACCTGAGTGTGGGAGTAGAACATGGAGAAGTTACTGACGATGACTGGAACGGGCAGGGCGATGGTCAGCACACCGGCCAGAGCACACAGAGCGCCCACGAACATGCCCGGATAGGTCTTGGGCGCCACATCCCCATAGCCCACGGTGGTCATGGTCACGATAGCCCACCACAATCCCAGAGGGATGCTCTTGAACTGGTTGTCGGGATTATCCTGGATATATTCATATTAAAAATTGTTATTAATGTAATTATTTTCTGTGGAAATAATATTTTAAGAGAACTTTTGATTTATATATATAAACTTAAAAATAAAAAGTTTTAATTTTCTTTTCTTGTCTTTTTAACTATTCATTTATATTCTTTATTTGTTAAAAAGTTGTAATCATTGTTAATTAGCCTCACCTGCAACTTCTCTGCATAGTAGGCCAAGCTGGCAAAGAACACAATGCCCAGAACCAAGAAGAATACCAGCAAGGTAAGCTCCTTGGCCGAAGCCTTGAATGTGTGGATGAGGATTCTCAGACCCGGTGAATGGCGGGTCAGCTTGAACAGCCGCATTATCCTTACGATGGAGAAGGCCTCCAGAAGACCCGTATACTCGCCCATCCGCTGCATTACGTCCGTGTAAAAGCTCAGGGTGGCCGTAAAATCAATGATATTCACTGGAGACTTAATAAACTGCCATAGATTGGGCGAGACCTGATTAAAATGAAATAAGATATCCCATTTTTAATATATTAAGTAATAAATTCTAAGTTTTAAATAGTTTTTTGTAGTTCATCTTAAATTTATATCCATTTATATTTCCGATAACTTACAATCAGCCTGATGATGACCTCGATGAAGAACCAAACGTTGCACACCAGTTCCACGTAGAAGAATGCTTCATGGGGCTGACCATAAGTCTCGATCCATCCGTGCTTTCTTCTCCCATTGTGACCCAATATCTTCTGCTCGATGAACTCATTCAGGCTACTTCCATTGATAGTTCGTTTCAGTCGCTGCCGTTGACCGCCCTTAATGGTGGCAATGGGCGTGGACTGGCCGGGAGCGGTAAAGTTGCCACTGCCGTAGCTCGTGTAATTCGTGACACGAAAGGTGGGTCCGATGCTGCCGCTGGGCGGCGTGATACTGTGCTGATGGTACTGATGGGTCTGAGGTGGTTCGCCCATGGGATCGTGTCCATGTGGAGGTCCTCCCGCACCCGGACCATTGGCATCGCCGGGACTGGCGGGCAGATCCACACGAAAGCCAGGATGGGTCTTCAGGCAGAATGATATCACAGAAACAAATATAAAGAAAACCGACATGCCAGCAACAATCTGTAGAAGAAATAATAAGTAATGATAAATATATATATATATATAAAAGTTAAAACCCACCTTGGCCCCCGTGGAGCTGGAGGGCTCATCGAACATGGCCCAGATCTTGGGTTTTAGACGCTGCCAGCAGTTAAGCTCGCCGTTGCTCAGTGCCTCCTCGAAGCCAAATAGACGGGCTATCTGCTCCTCTGTGGGCTTTTCATTTTCAATATCTAGCTTATCTAATATGGCTAAGGTGTTCTATAGGAAGATTGAATAAATGAGTATAGGTTCCAAAGTCGAATAATTATATAACTTACTTGCGTATCGCGATGTATGCTATAGGTTGACCAACAGCAAGGTTCTACCTGGTTAGAGTCGAGTCCCCAGAATTCCAGCTCCTCCTCGAAAAGCGGACCACACACGTCAGTTGGATAGTGCAGTTTACCAGTTCTGCAAATAATAACAAGGAAGTTAGCTTTTGTTTAACATATCAGACATCCTTTGTTTATTACAAAATGCATATATACAACGTGCCAGAAGATACTCAACCTCCTTCTACTGTCTATTAGTAAAACATTCTAGTCAAGCAATTTGCTCATAAATTTAAATACCACTTAGCTCGGTCTTTGTTCTCCAGTTATTCAAACTTGAGATGCCTTGTTTGCCTGGAATCTCATTAAGACAGAGCAATTATGGCATAAGTAACCTTTGACTAAATGCTCTCTCTCCCCTCCCCATCTCTATCAACGATTCCACTTTTCCGACTCTTTCAACCGGTCAAAACAAATTCATGGACTTGGCCAAGCATGTAGAGGGCTTAGACCGAATAATATTATGGCCAAAACGGCACGTCTGAAAATGTGGCTGCAAATTGCGCAACTGAAAGTCAGAGAGAACGGGTGTGGGTAGGTATCACTTGCATATGCATGGTGGGAAAATGTGTGGATATGCATTGCATCCATGTGCACCTGGTAGAAAAAAACAGACATGGTCATTCCACACCCACCTCTTGACCCCCTTCTCCAGTACTTGGCATATTCATAATGCTGCCTTGGCCATTGTTCCATTCTCTTGGCCAACAACAATTTGTGATGCTTTCAATCCTCTCTTTCTCTGTATAAGAGTCTGTGTGTGTGTAAGCTCAAATTGCAGTAAATGGCTGTAAGGGAGTTCAAAAAAAAAAAAAAAAAGTGCCAAGGGGTAAGGAGGGGAATCGTCCTTGTCCACAGTTGTTGGCCAACTTGTAATGCCATATCAGCTGCCGGACAGTCACCGAGTGCGGGGGTGAGTCCTTGGCTGGTTTTATTTTTGGATGATATCTTCACTTTCCGCCCTTTTTACCCCTTTTAACCCACTTTCCACCCGCCCATACACACACACACACACACACATAAGTGTGTTATTGTGTGTACGCCACGTGTGCGCATCCTGAATGTCCTTTTTTGTGCCGGTTTTTACCAACATATTTCGTGCACAACTTTTTCACTCTCTTGTGCTGACCAAACTTTTGTTCTGGTTAAAAATCATTTCGTACCATGAATTCCTTAAAAAAATATTTTTAAATAAAATAGTATGAACGGATATGTCACTGTGTGTACGGACTTGGAAAGTGGCGCTTTTATTTCGCGAGATCCCGATCCAGCTCCATTACTGAACTTTGACATTTTGACACGTCCGCCTGAATTTTTTGGGTAATTCTTAACCGAACCAGTTTTTTCCACAATACCCTGTAAAGGCCTTAAAGGAAGATAGTGAAAGCAGTCAAAGCACTGCTATATTTACTGCTGATATTTAAACAATTTTTAATTATTCAAAAAATTCTTGTTCAATGTTTTAATATCCTTCTTCGAAAGTCCACTGAAGCTACCATTTTTTTTATGATTCATCCCCTTACCATAAGGTATCATTTATTTTTAACCCTGTACTTCAAAGAACACTCACTATTTTTAAATCTCATGAAGCTCACTGCAGTCATTGTCATGGCTTTTCGATATATCTCTCGTCCCACATGCACGTGGATCGTTAATTGGTTTTCTCCATAAAACCCGCAATTCGGCCAACTCTTCTTTTATGCCGATTTTTCACCATTTAAATATTTTTTTTTTGCGCCAGTCCTCAAATTACATTTTGGTGAAATCACTTCCATTCTCTCTCTTAATCCTCCAACTTTGCCTTTCTTCGCTTTTTTCGTTCATCATGTGTGCATAACAAATATTACGCATACGCAGCGTGCAACCGATGCAATCAATATTTATAGCTGACCTCAACAAGCACGTGAGCCGATCAGGCGCATAAAGAGTCTCCGCGTTTAAATGTGCATAAATAATTATATCGATTGTCTCGGCAACACTCCGCTTGAGGGATTTTTCATTAAATACATATTAAGAGGTTTTTAACGGTCTTTTAGTAAATAATATTAATTGTAAAACAAAGAAAAACTACGAATAAAATCTTTAAGGAGATTAAGAAAAAGCAATTATTGGTCAATTTATTATATAATATTCTTTCTTTCTTAGCCTCTTTTAATGTATTTCTTTAAATGCCCAAATACGTCATAGAAAATCATCTACTAAATGATATTTATAAAAATATTTTAAGATAATATTTGTATTAAATTATATTTAGCCACACACATTTAAAGTCCAGCTTATACACATAACTTAATATGGCAAAAGTAATATATTTCTTCCCAAAAAATCATGGCTTTTCCCCATCGAAAACACAAATACCAATCGATAAATAACAATCCCAAAGCGCATTTTGCTTTGTTATTTTACTGCACTTTTGCTTGCTCTACAGCTTATCGATATGAAATCTTTTCACACAAATTGTCTGGCGCATTTGGTGCGTGCATAATTTGATTATATATCCCCTGAGGAGGATGAGTATCCGAAGGACCCCTAGTTTCAACCACACCCCCTAGGGGGAGACTCAGTTTCATTTCCAATCAACACGGAATGTTGCAGTATTTTTTTTCCAGATGCTGCCCTTCTTTGACACCATTTTCCTGGCCGTCGGTGCCTGGTTAATTGAGTTGGAAAACTGTTTGGCCAAAGCCCCCGGAGTCATGGTTGTTGCGGGTGGACGCTACCCTTGCCCCAATCAATGAAGATGAAGGACCCTGGGATGCTGACAGCGTTGTTTCATCCGAAAACAACTCCATCTGCAGGTGCAGCTTCAGGTGCGGATGAGGATGGAAATGGGTGATGAGCAAAACAAACTTTCATTAATTTTAAACAACTTAAGTCATCGCAACGGGGCAGACAACACCTCTACTCAACTCAGTTCAGCTCACGGCAAAAGATAAATGAGCCCGCTAATGACCCCGAAAAACGGTTGGATAAACTTTCGCTACTCAAAAACTTTAGATTAATGGACGAGGCAAGTTCGTTCTGCTCCTGGGGCAGCAATTAAAATATTAGTTTGTTTATTCATCATGGCAATCTATTACGAAAACTGACTCTTGATATGTTTTTCGCCGAGCGCCATTAATCAGGGCAATCATTACTGCAAAGAGCACAATTTGAAAAGCCAAAAGTAGCTGAAATAAAATAAGGATATCTCAGGTGGAATTTTCTAAGGAAAAATCTTTCAGTTTCCCCCTCACACTTTTCCTATCCAAAGTAAATGATGTAATTACCATGCGCTCAAGGCTACTGCTGCCCATTAACAGTCATTGCACGTCTAAACAGCTTTTAGTAGCTTAATTGGCCCGACACTCACCTGTAATAGTTGAGGATTTGGGTGAAGACCCCGGGGTGGCGATCGAAAAAGTATTCATTGAGTACTGGATCATAGTTGGCCAGGGCTTCGGTCAGTCGGGAGAGACGTGTTGCAGGGATTTTCTTGAGCGTGGCCTTATAGGTTTCATATCTGCAATAAATAGTAATCATTGACAGTTAATTTTTTTGACCAAATTAACTAATAAGTCAAACAAATTAGGCCAAAATGTATGTATTACAATTAATAACTTAACAAATTACTTAAGCCTTAACTATCCCTTAACCGCTTCACAGTCCTGCAGAAAGCTCCTATTATATCGAGCCATGAAATCCTACCCCTGAAAAAATAAGCGATAAAAAAAGGTAGAGCATTGCAGTGGGCAAAAAAAGACAAAAAAAAAGGAGAGGGTCAAGCAAGTGTAAGCAAAACCCAGCCATAAGCCATTTGCATACATTTCGCTTTATTTTTTCCCATGGCTCTACGCGGCCATTCCTATTTTTTCGACCTCTCCCCTTTTTTTATATTGTGTGCCAAAAGCATAAAGCATTAGGGTTTTGGTTATGGTTCTGGCCAATGTCCAAAGTGGGTCACGTAGATTTTGGTCTAGAATTTCCTTTTGTTTGATTTGACCTTTGACAGAGATCATTACCGCACAAAATTGATGGATTTCTTCTATTCATCCTGTTTGACGTCTGTTTATGTTTGCTGACCAAACAAAAATCAATTTAGTACATGCTAGGAGATTTCCATGATTTGAATATGCTAATATTCGAGTGTGAGATCTTGAGGTTTAGTATTTCACTTGAATCACTTTTCATAAGTGTTCTCAATTAAGTATAAAGATTATAGTCATCACCATAAAACTAAACCATTAAAATGAAATACCACTATTATCCCCAATCATCACATGCAATCACAGCAATTCTACTTATTTGCAAATAATTACCAACAGTTCTTGATATTTCTCCCATTGGACTATTTAATATCCATTCCCAGGAAACATAAATATATAACAAGTGTTAATTATATTCCCGCCATTGGTTCACCTGGGCAACTCTACACACAAAGTATCATAACGCCACACATACAAACCAAAACTTAATTTACGTAATCATCCATAAAATTATACGAGCACAAGGAGCGACAACGACTCCCACCAGGCGTAATTAAATTCAATTGAAAGTAATTTCCAACAAATTGTTGTAAATTTCATTTTCACATTTATAACCCACACATTCCCGGGGCCGGAGCAGCAATCCATGACATTTAAGTGCGTGTCCTGGCGAAGCTGAGCTGTCCATATGCAATTTATTTTTTACGCCAAACTGTTTGCTCTCGGTTATTAAATATTTCATGCATCTGAGGACAGGCAACCGCAGCGTTGCGACAGCCGAATCATCAATAACAGGGTCCGCCGCATAACAATTGCCATTAAAGTTTATTCGGGCGGTTTGGCGTTGGTAATTGGCCCCGGCGGAGGACCAATGGACGGGAATTGAGCCGGAGTCGAACAAATGTTTGCTCAGCCTCCAATTTCAATTGTATGCAATTTTTTGGGAGCGGCCATCGTAGCATTGTATTGAATTAGTTTTTCCGACTGTGATTGGTTTTTGTTCGTTCTTTTTCGGTCAACGATGCGTATGCGTGATTCACTTGACAGCTGTGCTGAGCTTTCAATTTACGACTGGAATAAATTTCGAAAGATTTTGACAAATTGGCCTAAATCGTATTTAATGAATTATGTTGAAATAAATTTCCTTCCTTTTGTGTGGCCCATCAATTTTGTGCTTGTAATATGACTGACAGCCGAAAAGTATGCTAAAATAATTTGTATAATGCGAGTGGTATGAGAAGAGATGGAAAATGTCGAAAAATCAGCTAAATGATTGAGTGGAACAGCGACCAAGCAAACATCAAAATAACGATCAATAAAATCGCATAACTCGAAATCGGACATTTCACTAATGCTTTCTGATTTTATTCAATGACTTTTGTGTGAGAAAATGCTGTTTTTTGTTAGTTTAATAAGCCGAAAAGAGCAGTAACAGTAATAAGCATTTAGGGGCTTAAACTCAAGCATTTTAATAATTTACAAGCATTGGGACAACTTATCAGTATAAATTGAGTATTTTGGCCATTTAAAATGACTAATTATTATTATTATTTTCAAAGTATAAATTGTTTAATTTAAATTCAATACACATTTATGTTTAGAAAATTTCCGTGGTTGGTAAACATTGTATAAAATTTTATTTTAAGAACAAATTCAAAAGTTTATTGATTGATTGGCGTAGATGAATGCGGAAGGTTATCAGCACTGCACAGACTGCTTTTATTTCACTCTATTTTAAATTGATTTCCTCTAGTTATGAAATTCCAATCAGATTCTTTTCTATATAAACTAAAAAATAGCAAGTCATCAAGAACGAAAAACATAAAATTCTAGAATGTTTTTTCTTTCTCCTCTTTAAACGAAATTTTATGGTAATTTATGCCGTGGTGGCCTGCCAAGTTAATCTATCCAAAGCTTCCATAACTCACTTCAACGCATGGCACTTTGATAAACAATATTATTATATTTCCTCTCCCGCATACAAAACAAGCCAACATGCAAATGCAATTTAATTTAAGTATTTTTAATTTCTGCTTATTTTTACTCTTTGTTGTTGTTTTCTTTCTCTTTCTGGTTCTCCTTATTAAAGAGATTGTTAGTCTCTAGTGCTATCTCACTCGGACATCATCAGCGACTATCAGTGTTGGCAATAAAGCTTTTTAAAAGATTCATCTACTTTAAAAATTTGTTGACATAGTTAGATATATATCTGTAAAACGCCTTAAAAATAATATTTATGACTTAAAAATATTAAATAAATTTCTTAATATTATATTTTATTCTTTTTTTGTAAAAATGAATCATTTTCAAAGGTTTCCCATTTATTCATTGATTTTGTTGTCAAATAAATTCTACAAATTTAAAATTCTTTTCCCAAAAATCTTCAGTTTGGCTATTTTTAGTTTGGTTATTTTTTTAATGCGCTATATTTGACAGCACTTGCGGTGTGGCGTGAGCTGCCGACGAGACTCTTGAAAAGTTCCTCCGTAGTTTTCGCGAACGGCAACGCTGCGATATAGAGTCAGTTGTCCGACAACCACTGAGCAATTAACACGCAGTTCTAGTTTTGCGTTTTAGATATTTAACCCTCTATTCCTTATCCGGAAAACTAAGATCAGAACAAAATGCTGCGCGTTTTGAAGACCGGTGCCTTGCTGCGAGCCCAGACCAAGAACTTTGCAGCTGCTGTTGCCCACTATTCCGCCCTCCCAGAGCCACAGACCTCGCCCGAAATTCTCTACACCGGGGTAAGTCCAAGCACAAGATCATAAAAAAAGTGAAAACAATTATTGGTGAATTGTGACATTAATCGCAAACTTAATCGGAAGAATTAAATCAGCAAGAAAGAAAGTATTAAACATGTTTTTGAGTTGACCTTGAGACGTTCAACTGCAGCTGTTATCGCTCAGAGCCCCTCCTCGAATGCCCTACATATGCGGAATCAAGTTTTTAAGGTTTTCCAGTTTATGTTTCCCCCTCGTTTCGTTCAACGAAAAAATTGGCAAATCAACGAAATGCGAGCCACATTCACCACATTCAGATCACGTACACCAAATGTTTATCGGCAGCTGTGGGGGATTGTAGGGGATTAGGCTGCCTAAGCGAATCGAAAGACCGGCCACTAAAAAAATAGACAAAAACGATATGGCATAAGCAAAAAAAGACAACAACAAGTTCGCCGGCTATATTTGTTGTTATTTCTTCGATATTCGTTGTTTGCCATTCCCGGTTTCTTTGTTACGTCAGTGCTGCTCGCACAAAAAAAAAACAAATTTGTTTGCCGCGAATTCTCTTCATTTGTTCTTCTCTTTACTTTGCGCTTTCATTCCTTCATTCCGCCTCCAGGGAAATTTGCATAAATTCTAGCAATTTGCTATCTTTATTTGTGTTATCTTTAGTGTCACCAATTAGAACTAGCGGTCGATGGATTTAATTGAGAGGGGATTGCGGTTGGGAAACTTATTGCGTATTTTGTAGACAGATGTGGCATCCCATGAAATTAAAGCATTTGGAATTAAGCTAAATCACTATTTTGTGGGACTAACTAATTCATGTTCAGATATCAAAGCACATTAATAAATTTCAAAAAATTGGTCTTCAATATATTGGATTAATACTCATAAAAAGGTTTTTTAATATTCAGCTTATTCTTATACTCTTATAGAGTATAAAAAATCATTTTAATTTTAAAAGCATTCGAAAAAATATGTACTAAGTTGATACTTAAATAGTAATTTATTTAAACTATTTTATTATAGTTTACATGCTCGATTGTAGCCTAGGAAACACACTACCTAAAATCTAATTAAACTGTATTATTAATTTTATTTATTACCTTAAAAAAATGTTTTAGGGAGAACATTGCTTAATATTTTGTATAATAAGTAAAACAAAAAAGTAAAAACTAGCAGGAAAATGAAATGAAATGTATGAAAATATTAAGTTAAATCAGTTAAGACAGTTAAATCAGTTTATAATTTTTATAGGTATTTTTTACAGTTCAATAAATCATATACCAGAATCTTGTAATCTATTTCCTGAACATAAACATATCACCCCACCATCTTTTACTCCTCGAAAACTTTCTTATCTGTTGATTCATCTAATTGTATTTGTTGCTATTGGCAGTTTCCATTCCTTATCACCAGTAGCCTTATTAATTTTTGAGGGTCCCTTGCTATGTAGATAACATGGCACACTTTATAAAATCGGACTCCCTCATCAAACCTGTTCAATCGTCTAGCCAAATTCACGAAAATTTCATACACGTGCCTCCATCGCTATATTTATGTTTGGCTGTGTCTGGTGGAAAGTTTTATATTCGCAAGCACATTGTGAAATACAAAAGTAGATGTATGCAAAAAAATAATAAAAAAAGAAATAAAGCATGAATATAAACAGAAGGAACTGAGGATGACGTGAGGGGTTAGAGGCTGACTTCATTTCAATTCTAATCAGTTAGCCGGTAAACGTTTCAGATTACACGCGTTGGGGGTTTGTCAGGTACACATGCTAACTGAACAATCAGTCGATTGCGATAGAGAGAGAAAAAACACGCACTACTAGCAGCTAATAATAACAAAAAACCAGCAGCCGAGGGGCTTATCTTATAAATAGTAGAGGTGCGGCTTGTTTGACACTCCAATAAAACTTAGTAAAACGTAAAAGAATTCAATATTCGAGATTATAGAAATGATATGGTGGCATTAACTGATGTTATTATTTCTTTATTGCAGCTGTTCATCAACAATGAGTGGCACAAGAGCAAGTCGGGCAAAACTTTTCCCACCGTCAACCCAACCACAGAGGAAACCATCGCCGAAATCCAGGGCGGTGATAAGGAAGATATCGATATTGCCGTGAAAGCTGCCCGCTGTGCATTCAAGTGAGTGTCAATATCTGATTTTAATTAATTAGTTTTATTTATGACCGTTTTGTGTTATATAGGTTGGGATCCCCATGGCGCCGTATGGATGCCTCGGACCGTGGTCGTCTGCTCTACCGCCTGGCCGATCTCATGGAACGCGATCAGGTTTACCTGGCCGTAAGTATTAGTCACATTCGAAATGAAAAGCAATTGACTATAAATTTTTGCGTGCTAACACGCCCAGGTTTAGTCAAGTCTTTATTTATCAATTAACCTTTAAGTCTCTTCTAAAGTCATTTTAATTCTCTTAAGCAATTTAAATCAAGGCTTTATAGGAAAACATTAACTTTACTTCTTGCTTAATTTTCGGTAATATTATTTACAATCTAAATTATATATTTTTTTAACAGAGCTTGGAGACCCTGGACAATGGCAAACCATACAGCATATCCTACAACGTGGATCTCCCGACTGCGATTAAGAACCTGCGCTACTTTGCTGGATGGGCGGATAAGAACCACGGCAAGACTATTCCCATGGATGGAGAATTCTTTACCTACACTCGCCATGAGCCTGTTGGTGTTTGTGGACAGATCATTCCCTGGAACTTCCCCATTCTGATGATGGCCTGGAAACTGGGCCCAGCTCTGGCCACCGGCAACACCATTGTGCTTAAGCCCGCAGAGCAGACCAGTTTGACTGCTCTATACATTGCTCAGTTGGTGAAGGAGGCTGGATTCCCAGAGGGTGTGGTCAACGTGGTGCCCGGATTCGGAGGAGCTGGTGCTGCTTTGGCTAACCACTGTGATGTGGATAAGGTGGCCTTCACCGGATCCACTGAAGTGGGCAAGCTCATTCAATTGGCTTCGGGAAATACCAACCTGAAGCGGGTGACTTTGGAGTTGGGTGGTAAGTCGCCTAACATTATCCTTGCTGATTCCGATTTGGACTACGCCGTGGAGACTGCTCACTTTGGTCTGTTCTTCAACATGGGTCAATGCTGCTGTGCTGGATCTCGTACTTTCGTGGAGGACAAAATCTACGATGAGTTCGTTGAGCGCAGCGCTGAGCGTGCTAAGAAGCGCACTGTGGGCAACCCCTTCGATCTGAACATCGAACAGGGTCCCCAGGTGAACGAGGAGCAGATGGAAAAAATTCTCTGTATGATTGAAACCGGCAAGAAGCAGGGTGCCAAACTGGTTGCCGGTGGCAATCGTCCAGAGGGTCTTCCCGGCTACTTTGTCCAGCCAACAGTGTTTGCCAATGTTGAGGACGACATGACCATTGCCAAGGAGGAGATCTTCGGACCCGTTCAGCAGCTGATCCGCTTCAAGAAGCTGGATGAGGTTATCGAGCGAGCCAACAACTCAGATTATGGATTGGCTGCTGGCATTTTCACTAAGGATCTGGATAAGGCCAACTACATTGTTGGCGGTCTTCGTGCCGGAACCGTGTGGGTAAACACTTACAATGCCCTCGCTGCCCAAGCTCCATTTGGTGGCTACAAGATGTCTGGCCATGGCCGCGAGAACGGAGAGTACGCCCTGTCCAACTACACGGAGGTCAAGAGCGTCATCGTCAAGGTGCCCCAGAAGAACTCCTAAGAAGGATGCGTTATTTCCTCCACGAGGGAATGGTTAAAATGGTTCGCCCTGTTTAGATGCTCTAAATACCGGCAGTAATCTTTTACTTTACACCTACGATCTACATCTCCTTATGCACATAGGTATAAATACATTTGTTGGATATAACTACTTGTCTACGGCCAGTTTCTGTATTCTTTCCATTTGGTTAATTCAGTTTAATTGTAAGTCTCTGATTTAAAATAAAGTTTTTTGAGAAATTTATAGATTTTAAAAAGCGGCTCTTTATCTTAATGGTATTTACACTTAATTGTACTTTTTTCAAGTTCAAAGTATGAAGATAAATTGATAAATTACCTAAATAAAGGCAGTTAAAATAGCTTTGATTCCAAGAAATCTATAACAAGGTCAGCTATTTTCTTTAGCAATTTGAAAGTTGCTTTTCTGTTAGTGCCTTTTATACTCCCTTTTGCTCTACAGTTTTTTATAGTTGATCACAATGTTTGCCGATAGATTCTTGGCTTTGTTTATGGCACACTCTGAACTGAATGTCATTATTTTGCTTATCCAACAACACCGAGATAAAGCAAACAAACACCGAGATACTTCCTCACAGCTTACACTGCACGAAACATTGATTGGTTTAGCTTAGAGCCAAAAGCAAATGGAAAAGTGAACAGCTCGGGGAAAACTACTAGGTCGTCCATCTAGGGGAAATAAGCTTACATTTATTTGCATTTATTGGCATTTTCCATCGTTTTGTTTTACCCCAGAATGGTTTGGTGTGTGTGTTTGTGAGAGTTTGTGGGTCTGTGTCTGAATATTTGTGAGACTTAGACACACATATCAGGACACTAACTCTTACACACACAGCAGGTCGTCTTTCATCCGACATCAGGGCCAAAAAAAAAAAAGAAAAGTTGTCCATTAGATTGGACAGCAGCTGAGCGTGTCAAGTGTTTTGCGGTTAGTGCAAAAGTTTTTCTCTTATTTTCCACTTTGTTATTTTCGAAATTGAATAAGCGCATTTGTATGCAATTTATTTAAAATTTGTATTTCAATTTATACTTTGACCTAAGGCCAAAGTGCAAATGGTTATTTGCTTTATTTATTGCCTGGCATTGAAAACATCACTTACATGGCTGCCATTTGAATATTTAAATCACATTTTTGCACCGAATTATATTAATATATTTAACAAATTTCTCATGTATTATTTATGAGTTTAATTATTTATTTGAAGTGTAAATTATATACAGAGAATTTCCTTTGTGATTTAAAACACAAAAAAACGATGTTGTTTTACTTTAAAATGAAGTATAGGTTTGCTTCAAAATGATTTATTCTTTTCAGATTCCTCTTTTCAGTTTGTTATGCGCTTAGTTTGCAATTTTAGCTTTGAATTTTATACATTTTTTTTTAAATCACAAAGCAGCAGAAGTATGAAACACTATTAATCGTTTATGATTCATGAGCTTAAATATTTCATAGCAGAGTGCATTTATTGCAGAGTGAAAACTTGTCCGAAACTGAAATTTATTTTTTATGCCGTTTGCAAGCGCTACAGACCTAATTCAATTTTTGCTACCTTTTTCGAATCGAACAAAAGGAGAATCAAAACTCACTAAGCCACTCACTACGTATACGCAATTATTTTATTTCACCTCCTGTATTCAGTATTTTGGCCTTGTTTTGTTTTTTTTTTTTGCCAGTTATTTTAAATTGATTTTCGCTTGATGGCAACCATTCATACAAATTCAAGAATGAAAAAAGAAAAAATGAAAATCCCAAGCGTATAAAATGGGCAGGGGGAGAGAGTGTGGAAAAACTGTTAAAATTGCAAATGATCCATGGGCAATTTTAATACACCAAATGGCAGGTGGCCAACTTGAAAAAAGGCGACTAACAGGACTTTAGTTAGGGGGTTGGAAGGGAAAGAGAATTTTGGAGAAAGGAATGATGATTGCCAAAAGCGCAGCCGTGCGCATTGAGGCGCGTGCACAGGTGCGCTCGAGCGTTGTAGTTCTTAGTTCAGGCTCGAATGCGGGCCATAATTGAAAATCATTTTTCACCGGACTTAATGCTCACCCAGAAATGTTATAAACTGCTAGCCATACTTTAATTATCCTGCTGCACACCAAAAAACTATAATTCAGAATTTGCACTCTACGGTCGAAAGCAGCCAAAAAGAGCGAGACCCAAAAAACAAGTATCCGCCATGATGGTCATTTTGCAGGAACTTTTTTTCCTTTCCCTCAGCCAAGGCAATTCAACTTTATCGCAGTGTCTACACTCGATTACATTGTTATGTTCACAGGCTGCCAAAAAGAGGGAAAAAATCGAAAGAAAAGTAACTACTCCCATCGGGACATCGAAGAGATGCCAGCACTTTGATCATTAGCCGGAAAATGACCACGGACACGGTGCAGATAAGCCAACAGGGCAAAAAAAAAAAAAATAAAAAAAGAGCAACATAAAGAAAAAAAATGTCATCAGGAGAAGGGCAAACAAAAGGCTTAACAAGGATTAGCAGTGTAACCCAGATCAAAAAAATCTTAATGGCTGATATGAAGCAACTTAAATTCTGGAAGCCCAAAATTATGCAACGATATTTGCGCATTTAAAAATCGCTAGGGAAACGCTATGAAAACGCAAGTACGCCATAAGTGAAAAATCAAATTGGGTTCAGCACACTCGTTCACTCACGCAATTGCAGCGCACTTAACCCAATAAAGTGCCTACGATCCAGTTTCAGGCCAGATGTGTCAGCATATTGCCCCAACTCATATCCCCATTCGTCCTCTCTGCCAATCCTCCGATTTCCCTTCGTCGTTGGCCTATTACCTCCGTTAACCAGGCTAAATACTCTGACACAGGCACATCGTCGTTTTATGGCCGTAATGCGATTTACGCACAGTGGGATAAAAGGGATAATAAGTGAGGCAATCCGATGAAGTTGAAAGGGAATGTGGCAGAATAATATAGTCAATAATTTATGAAATTTCATAAAAAGTTGACAGATTCTTGGTAAAATTTTTCATTGTACCTATTTGCCAAGATTCTATGGCTAATGTATAATATATTTCTGCCCTTTAAGCCAAATAAAATTTGAACGTAATAGTTAGTTAAAAATATCTGCACTACGTCTGCTTCAATATCGATTGATTATTTTATTTTAAGCTCCTTAATTGACCTCAGCCACTCGGCCAAATCAAGCCAGTAATTAAAAATTCAACATAACCCGCATTTGTTGGATTTGGTCGCCGCAGATGCCATCGATTTTCACACCATCAACGTCAATAGCGTGAAAATGCGCAAAAATGCTGTTGCAGTCAATAAGGTGGAACTTTGTCGTCCTGCCACACCAGCAACATTCTGTTACACCAACAACTACAACAGTTACCATTGCAGTAACAAAAAGAGCTACCATTGCTGCTACAAAAGTGAAAACGATGATGGCTTTGATGCCACTTCAAATGGAAACGTTCCCATACATCATACCAACCTACCTACAGCTCGACTACCAGCTCGTCTGGTTCTTAGAACCCACCGACTGTTGCGGGCCTTTTGTTGTTTGCCGAATGCAATGGCATTTCCGTGTCCGCCCCCTGGCCACGCCCTAAGCTACACATGTCGCACACGAAAGCGGCAACATCAGTGTACCCTGTAAATCGTAAATTGGCAATGTTTCTACGTTATGATTGTATAAGATTGAATCATTTTTAAAATATGTCATCAATTTTTAATATCTAAGAAATTTTAAAGGTTTTATATATTCTATTCTCAAATTTCTAGAGATTATTTTCCAAAGGACAGTTAACCTTCTATAAATTTCCTTGTGTAAATAACATATTTCTTTGTCAATATCAAAATATTTGTAAGATATTGACCTGATAGGCTTAAAGTAATCTGATGATTCGGAAAAACTGGGCAATGAGCAAATGGAAATGCATTCAATATTCTTATCTACCTCAAAGAAAACTAAGTTATTGGCCATTTGGTTTATTAAATTCATAAATTTGGTAGCCAAGCCTATTTGCAAAGCTAGCCAATTAGCCTTTATACCAGGTACAGATAGGAGCAAAAATAGCACAATTTTCGGAAAATTGCAGAAAAAACATTACAATATCATTAACTAATAAAAATATTCATTCTTAATAACATTTAAAGGAACTCCTAGTTGTACTAAAATTATGTCATTTGGGTAGAACAACCTACCGGGTATCTTTCTGTCGTGGACCTGGATAAAAGCATTTTTGGCTTGTTCGTGCTGCCTATGGCCCCGTCACCCATTTTTTTGTTTGCCGCGCTAGTCCGGAAATGTGCATAAAGTGGAAGTGTATTGCGCATTGGCGTGAGAAGAGCCATTGATGCTACAGTCTTCCATCCCCCTCCCTATCGAATACGTACTCGTACATATAACCCATCTGGGGCGCCTCCATTCCACTTGGAATCTTCTGGGCATGCCGGAGGCGCCACGGAAGCCAGACTCAGACGCTGGCGAGGTTGATGAGTTGCCAGGCATTGCATCGGCATCGCCAGCGCTCTTGGCTATTAACTTGCTCAAATATTTGCTCAGGCAGCCGCGATGCACTAGACGCTAAAAACAGCAAACATGGCCAACACAAAGCAAACAACGGTAGGGCTCACAAAAAAAAAAAGAGGCAAAAATGAGCGATAACGTGGAAGGAAAATGTCCTTTTGTAGCTAGAGTAAGCCAACAACGAGCAGCACAGCTTCAAAGGAACAACACTTTTTTGTTTGCGGAATACAAGCTGAAAGCACTTAGAATCCACAAAAGTGTTTATGGCATACATTAAAGTTTAACTTAAATTACCCAGCAGAATTTGCAAAATATTTTATGCTGGCTTACGGCTTAGTGTCATAATTAAGCCATAAATATGAAAAAGAGAAAACAAAAAGGGAGGCTTTTATTAAAGATTCTAAAATAACAACTTTAAAATTCTGTTTTATATCTGTAAATCAAATATATCTTTTACCCAGAAATCATTTCTTAAGACACCATAAATACATTTCCATTTTATTTAGATTCTATTGCCAGAAGCCTCGTTTAAGCACAGTAACTAAGTAGCATTACTCAGCCTAATAATATACCTAGAAATTTCCATGAAAAACCTTAAAGAGGCTTTTCTCACAATTGAAAATGA